TCGATGAATCAAGCAATGGGTTACAAACGTGGACATAAAAAAATAAATAAAAAAGTGGGCTATAGTGAAAGTTGTTTTGAGAGCCTAGCAGAGGATGTTTATAGAGTGAGAGATAAATAGTGAACTTCCTGTGGTTAAACATTATATTTCCCCCAATACAGTTAACGGCTTTGTTTTCCTAAAGCTACTTGAATTTGGTCATTCGGATGATTTTTGTTTGCTGTTAGTACAGCAGTGTGAATATACGTCTGGTCAAAAAAAAAAAAAAGGCAAATTAAGATTATCTTTGCTCTAAAGAACTCTACCCTTTGAGCTCATGCTGCTTATGTGTATTTGTACTCCCAACCCTAGGAACCGAACGTGGAGAAAGCGAACGAGGTAACGGGTAACGACAACACCCAGCTGTAGCCTGAGAATCAGGATGTGTATGATGGGACTGTTGCTGTGGCTATCAGAGCTATGGGAAGCAAATGATAACCCCGAGCAACCTCCCAGCGGAGCTGCTAGGAGCAGGCGGTGGCACGAGGCTGGCTAGGGGACAGATGAATTCTGCATCCCTTATGCCAAGGTGATGTTACAAACTGGTGATCTGGACAAAAAGAAGAGAGACAAATCCCTGCGGGATGCGAAGAAGAGTGACTGATTGTTACCATCGATCGACGGGGAAAAAATGGATTAGCAAGTTACATTGGATAAGTAATAGGGGAAAACATGTAGGGCTAACCTTATTTGGAAGAATGGTTGTGTTGACTTAAAGATATTTGCGTATAAGCCTCTAAATAATACAGTGATTTCAGAGAGCAGGCCTTGAGTCAAAGGCCATAGAAACAGCAAGAATCCTTCTGTAAACTTCAGATGGCTTACTGTAGCAGCTTGATACAAAAAACACCTGACCTTAAAAGTTGACTTAAAAATTTAACGCAAATAAGGAAGAACCAAAATCTCATTTTGGGTGAAAGGAAGAGACAGTTGATAATATGTTAGTTATGTAGGTGAACTTGAAAAATACCAACTCTGATTTCACAAGATCATGTGAATTTTGAGGGCTGATGAAATGTTGCGCAGCTGATCGAGGTTGTTCAGTGTCCCAGTTTGGTTTCAAAACTTCTGTATCTTGCACTATTTCACAATAGAGTCTAAGTGGCAAGAAACGAGCATGTAGTTTCTTCTTTCCTTGACTGTTAAGTCTTAAACTTTAGAAGGGTAGGAAGTCGTAATTTTATTCTGAGGTGCAACTTGCTGTGTTGTTCAGTAGTATATAAAAAAAATTGTAACTGGGATAATGACTTTGCTTACAGTATTTGATTTTAATGCGCTTCATCACTTGGCCATTTCCCTTCACTGACTGGTATTTCGTGCGTGTTTTTAACGTGTTCCCTCTAAGTGAGGGGATACAACATACATTTCTTTTTGATGCTGCTGTTTATAAACATGCAATCTTACATGCATATATTATAAACATGTATTTTAAAGAAAAACTCTGAGTAAAGTCATAGAGCATCTTTAACAAATGATGACATACAACCCTATGCGTTTTGTTTTGCTGTTCTGAATGTGTATGTTCTTCTAGCAAAATTAGTGTTGATAGCACATCCACATGTTGAGACTGTTGGATACTCTTAGGGGTTACATATGTGAAGCAGTATCAAAACATGAGTTGAGACTAGATTGCGTAGAGAGATTTCTGGAGGTAAACCAGACAATCCTGCCATAAGGAGTTGAGAGAAAGCTGTGCTTAGGAGTCTGCCGTGGCTCTGCAACTTGCACCTGTGTAACTAGTTTTGTGCTGCAAGTTGTTTTTCATATCAACTGACTGATGGTGAGGTGCTGTGAAAAGGGAATTGAGCGTTGTGCCCTTGGGAAAATAGTTAACTGAAGAGGCTTTTTTTTTTATTCCAGGAGTTAGATATGTGTAACTGGTGGTTTGTTTGGGTTTTTTGTCAGTCCACATCCTCATGTCAAAATTGCTTCAGATGTAAGTCTTGAGACAAATTTTAAATACTGTCATTGGAATGAATGTTCCTCCCCACTTGTAGTGAGTGTTGGCAACATTTTGTTGAGAAATTTGTGGTTCAGATAAAGTGAGAGAAAATTAAATTATTTTTAACTTTTGAGTATTTGATATGTCCTCAGAACTTTTAGTCTCGACTTTTTTACTGAGCTAAGGAGCAAAGTTAAGCCTTGTTAATGACAGAAAATCGTAAGGAAGAAAACAAAAACCTTTGCTGTGCTGAGTCTTATACGTGTTGTTGAGAACACTACACTGAAGTACATAAGAAATAAAATAGTTACTTTGCGTGCTTTTATTTTCAGTCCTCTCTTTTAGTTGTTAACATCTGCTGTTTTGGCCAGGAAACGTGCCTTTGACTTCTGCCTCCAAATGCGTAGGTGCGCTTGTCGCAAAGTGCCACCTGTGTGAGTGGTATTGGACTGCAACCACTGTAAACCATCTAAACCAAAACACCAAACATTTTTTAGTGCCCCGAATTTTGGATTGCGAACTGGCATCCTCTTGTTGAAGACAGAACTGCTTTCAGACCAGCTCAGTGCTAATGGGTGGTATACGCCGTAGCACCATGTACTGTGCAGTGGTGTTTGATCCACTGTGCAGTGTGAGATCATTGGAGTTGGTGGTATTCCACCTTGTGGTGTGCAGGACACCTGTCTCACTGGTATCTGCCTTCAAAGAGGAAAAGCATTCTTGCTCAGCCTGGCACCTAATCAGAACAGGATTGCAATTTGTCAGATTGGGATCAGTAGATAATTCCCTTGGTTCCCGCTATATGGTCACACGCTAAATAGCGGTGCACAGAATGATCAGAATAACAGATTAGGTGTGCATGTTAAACTGTACGCATAGGACTAATAAAGGCAATTCTGCTAGTTTTTGTACTTTGAGGAAATTTGTGTGAAAATGCAAGAGATGCTGGACTTGCACACTGACTGCTTGGCAATCGGGAGAAAGGTCCCTCTTGCATGTTGTTGTAGTTGCGTACCTCTGGTTTGCTGTTCAGTCAGAAGATTACAAACTGACGTTGGCAATAGGACTGAGCTTTCAGAGCAGTTGTTGGTGTAATTTGAAAAAGAAGAGGTGATCTTGGTATAATGTTAGTTGGTAAATTCTGCCCAGAATGGGTGCAAGAGCCTGTTTCAGTTGGCATAGTTCCTTGCAGAACAGGTGGACCTGAGGCTGCGTACAGAGCCTTTCCATGCATATCTTGGTTTGTCTTTTACAACTTTTATTTCACTGCTTATACTGGAAAATTGTTTAAAACTTGAGCTAGGTATTTCAGGTGAAGAACCTTTTAAGAGAAGACATTGTTCTTCAAAGCCAGTTTAATATTTCTAGGGGCTCAGGGATTTCTCTCATCTCAATATTTTATTGTCCTTAAAACGAGAAGCAAAGCTGTTAAGCTTAGTAAGCGCTGTACTCTTTGCACTTTGTAAACTTTGTTTCCCCAGAGCCTACCTTCCTCCTCTTGAAGAGGGGGTTTGCAGGCCTGAACTTCAGACAAGTAGGAAGAGGGACAAGAAAACTTGTTTAGAGGCTTCTCCACAGCGGAGCTTACTCTGAGGGCGTTTATCAGTGTCCTTCTGGAGACATGGACATGTTTGGATGGATCTGTTTTGGTTTGCATTCAGTTCCCTGTAACTTCCATTACATAGAGTAGTAGACTGTTTCATGGATTTGAGGTTAGGTGTGGGTTTGCCTCCTCTCATGAAAGGTGGTGTATTTTTAATGGGTTTGGGTGTTGGTTTTTTTCATTTCAATGTGTGTTTTAAGAAAGTCTATCTGTCTTTGCTAATTTGTTTGTTCTCTTTCGATGGGTTTACTATGCGGAGTAGCTGTGCCAGATTCATGCAAGTGACTGTGGGATGGGATTTTGTTAATCCAAGGTTTGGGAATCTCGGGCAATCATAGTGCTTTGTACAACAGCTTAGTTATGCCTTATGAGGTAACACTGAGCTTTAGTTGTTTGGAGCAAACTGACTCCTCCTCTATGAAGACACTAAGGAAATTGATGCATGTGCGGATTGTATACAAATGAATTCCCTTTGAAATAAGAGGATGGAGGGAGCTGGTGGTACCTTTGCGTCACTTTAATATCTTCTTTCTTTTTAGGCAGTTCCTTGTAGCTGTGATAGATTCATGCAAGGTATCCATAGCTTCATGCCATTAAAATGTTTGAAAACTTGTCACTTGAAAGGAAATGCCCTCAAGGTTTTCAGTTTATACATATAACTCCTTTAACTTCCTACAGTGTTGTTTTTGTTTTAATTAAACACTCTGTCTTTGATTAAGAGTATTTCTGTATGTACATCTGTATATCAGATTATTGTACTTGACTGCATAGCATACTTATTCTTTATTCCTAGTAACCATTGAAGAACTGTCAAAATGAGCTTTGTTTCAAGAGAGATTTTTGTGTTAATGGAGAAATAATGGGAAATTGTGTTTCGTGTTAAAGGAGATAATAATTAATGAGTACCATGTCATACTATAATGTATTAAGCTGCGTCTGTCATGCTTGTTTCGCTCAAAACCAAGAAAAGGTTGAGCAGTGTTGAGGTCTTAAGGATTTAAAAAATATCTACAAATTGTGTACACCTTGCTGTTTCCTTTCAATGCAAGCACTGAACTGAGGTCCATAGGGGTGTAAGATGTCAGTGTCCTTTTTTGGGTACTGTTTTTGTATGTCTTAAAACGTGTCTGCAAATACATGAGTTACTTGTCTTCTGCCTGTATACAACTCACGTGTCCAGTGTTGCACTGCCACTGACTCGCCCTTCCAAAATTCAACACCGCATAAGAAACCTGCTTAGCTCCACTATAGTCCCAAAGAAACCCCCTGAAATAGTGAGACACGGTGCATGAGCTGCTTGAACGGTCACTTCCTCAGAGAGCACACAGATTGTGATTTTCCACCGCAATATAATCCCTTTGCTTTGTGGGAACATTAATGGTAAATCCTAGTTTTCTGTTTTTCTGTTCCAGTATGTATGACCAATTGCCCTACTCTGATTGTCATGGTGGGTCTCCCAGCAAGAGGAAAAACCTACATCTCGAAGAAGCTGACACGCTATTTAAATTGGATTGGAGTGCCTACAAAAGGTGATGGATTTACTTTTGTTTTATGTCAGAAGGACAGGGCTGATGTTAGGTGTTTTATAAATTTAATTCCCGGTAATTTTGTTGCTCAGTTTAACTACTTAAAATCCTTCTGCTTTGTTAACTTATTTTTAAGCAATAGCATACACAGGCTCTCTGTTCCATAATAAATCAAATTCTGGTGACTTCATTTACCTCCTTATTCTGCCAGATGCCTCATTCAACTTTTTGCCCTTGTGCCTTAACACTTTGGTTCTTCAGCTGTCGTTTTTTTTCTTTTTTCCTTCCCCTTTCTTTATGTGGGTGAAAGGGAATCTTGTTTACAAGCAGACCAGCAGTCAGCACTTCTGGGTTAAAGTTCTGGCTTCTCAATCTTCTTTTCTCTTTGAACTTTGTGCAACGGTGTAACTCTTTGTTTAAATACATTTGTGGAATGAGTCACAGCTCTTTGAATATTTAGAGCCCAAGGAGCTCAAGCAAACTTGTTATCACTCTCTTAAGAACTTTATATGCGTGTTTTGAGTGGGAAACGATGGCTCAGATAGGTTATGCTGGGGAGCTGGCTGTCCTGCCTCATTCCCGAGCCCCTGTGGTATCTTGTGGGCCCAGACCAACAAGTAAATGAGACCCAAGTCCATGTGAGGTTCTGAGCAGCCATCTCCGTGCCTTCTCCTCTATCTCTGTAGAAGAAAAAAGTACTTTTAGTGTTCTGTGGTTCTGTGTCTGGTGCAGTAATGGTAGCTTTATAGTTATGAGTAGTTAATCATTTAAATAACATGAAACGTATTAGATCATACTGAAGTGTAGACTTTTGGCTGGATATTCAGAGATGTATTTCCTAGTAGCTCTAAGAAGTCAAGACAAAGACTTCTGGCCTATATTTTAACTGCCTTTCAATTCTAGGGTATAGCTTTTTGAGCTGGTGTTTTCTTAAGGTCTTAGAAACTTGTCTAATATTGTTTATTTAGATGAGACATGATGGGGGATACATTATATTGTTTGAGTATGAGAGTTTAAAGGATTTAAATTATCACTTGAATTTTGACTGTTTTCACACAGGATTGCCCTTTTGATAAGCAGTATCAGATATTTAGAGTCTTCACTTTTATCTATAAGGCTGAAACAGAGTAACAATCTAAATAGGTTAGCCTATAGCCAAGCTGATAAAATGTGTGTGATATAACTATGCTTCTATGTTAGATACACATCTAACATACATTGTAGATGCGTATATATGTCATTGTGTTGAGCGTTTTACCATGTGAACTTTGAAAGGCAGAAATCTGGTATTGGACAACAGACAAGATACTGTCCACATCTGGCTCATGCTTGCTTGAATATATCCCAAATACAGTAAAATAGGTAGGGGTGATCTGCTTCAGTTACAGGAAAAGTTCCATGGGCTCCTGCGAGCAGCACATCAGAAAAGATACGCACTTGTGGTTAATAAAAACTAGTTTGAGCATTGCTGACTAATTTTACAAAAATACACAACATAAAGTTACCATATGAGCTTCGATCCTAGGTTGCTGGTTATGGTTTGCCTTTGTTAGAAAGGGTGACTTGGGAATTTCCTGGAAAACCACAGACTTTTCCTGTTGTTTGTGTCAGTGATGCTATTTTACTGAAACTGAAATCAATTTAAAATACCTCACTGACTAAGAGAATAGATGACATGTTGCCTAATGCTTCCACGTGATTGGGACTGAATCAATACATGCCAAGTATTGAGTAGCCCTAACATCTGTTACCCTTTGGCTCTTTATGTCTTAAAATTAGTGTGTGCTTAATATATTAAGTGTTCTTATTCTCTGAGACAGATGGTTGAAATGATGAGGTTATGTAAACCAGAGAAAAGGTAAATGCCATCTTTTCATGTCACATACATTGAGCAAGCAGGAAAATTCAAGAACAGAAGGTGGAGGTAAATAGCCCAAGGTTGATGTTAGTTGAATCATTTCAGCCATCAGTTCTGTGTTTTGTTTTACTCCTTCCAAAATCCTCTGTTGTCTAGAATGTGAAATGACTAAAAATACAAAGGACTTTTGTCTGGGCTTTTTGAAGGAAATGAGGTCAATTAGATGCCTGAATAGAATTGTGTTGCAATGTGGTTTTTAGATACTAAACTTTGGAACCTTTTTTGAATAGTTCTGCCTGTGTGGTAATTGCGATACCAGTTATCTTTGTGAAACTTTTCCACAGGGGTGGATGCTAATAATAAGGGCTAAAGATAGTCCCACTAAATAGCACTTTTTCCTTTGCTGTGCATGACCCTCTTGCAGTAACTATTCTTTCTTAGGAAATTAATGATTTTTTATTTTTAAAGGGCTGTTGCCTGACAACGCTGGCCATCTGAACTTCTTGCATCTTCTGTTTTTTTTAAAAGGAACCACCTTTTCATGTGCCCAGTATGACTCATGCTCATTAAACCTGTCACAGAATAACCTGGATTGTACTGTAATCCATGTCATATAGTCATACAAAAAAATTACATCAACATTGTTGAATAAAACCTTGACTTTTGAGGGGATAAACAATATTGATTTCTTTATCCTCTGCCCCCAATCCCAACAACAATCTATATACAGCAACTGATGGTTGAGCTCTTTTCTCCTATGTCTTTTTTTTTTTCTTAAATACTACTCGGTGATTGTGTATATTACTTCGTTTCCTATTTCCAGAAATTAAGTCTGGCAAGTAGTTGTACCATGGCAGCTTCTCAAATAGAATACTTCAGTTTGATCTAATGTTTAAAAAAAAAAAAAAAAAAAAAAAAGCTTTGCAGTTATGCAGATAAAAACCTATAGGTCAGAAACAAGTTAAACATTAATTGCACTTCAGAGACCTACTTTCAGAGCTGTCGAATGAAGTTAATTAGGGTACAGTGTCATTGCCTGCTGTGTGGCAAAACAGAACTGCCTTCCTCTAATCCCACATTTGATATTATGACACACATATGACCATAGACCTTTGCAGACATAAGGAATAGTTTTCTTTGACCACTGTTAAAAGATCACAGTAAGATTATGTTCAGTACTTATGCTGATTTTTTTTTCCAGCTTAAGCATATTTTAAAATAAATGGAACAAGGGTTGTGAAATAGTATGTACTAATCCTTAAGGAATAGAAATATTTGAGGAGGGTTCTGAAAAACTGTTTCCACAACTTGAATTTTAAAGTTTCATTTATCAAAAGCAAGATTGGTTAGTTCTGTTTAGAACTCTTCCTTGCTTAATTAAGAGCTGAAAGTTTTGGGAGGTGCTATCAGAATATTGTTATACTGCACATATACCCAGAAGAAAAAGCTAGACTATAGGTAGTCCTTTGTAGACTACTGAAATAGATGTCCAACCATACCTGCAAAGGAGGAGAAGAGTTTCTGTTTGTTGCTCAGGCAAACTGGCAGAGGCACAGCAATATGGTCAAGTGACTCCATTGAAGCTACCTAGAGCCCAAATGTTCTTTTGCCATTTCCATGATTTATTTTTGTCTTTGTACTTAAGAACAAACACACACCACCCCCACCCCAAACACAAGAAAGGAGTATGATATGTTGACTTCGTGCATGCAAATTATTTTAGCCTTGCAGGTAGTTTGGTTTCAAAGCTGTCATTACATTTGTCCTTTTTATGTGAATACTGTTAGTTCCCACTAATACTGGTTTCTTCTTGGCAGAATTTAACGTTGGTCAGTATCGTCGAGATTTGGTGAAAAAGTATAAATCTTTTGAATTCTTCCTGCCTGACAATGAAGAAGGCTTGAAAATCAGGAAGTAAGTTTTGAAGGTGTTTGGCTACACAATGCTAATTGTATTAAAATCGTACCCAGTGTAACTTGCTCTTAGAGACTGCTTTAAGTTGCATTTTTGTATGCTCAGGAAGACCCTTAAGAGACTGCAGTATGAAATGACAGGAAAAAGAAATTCTAGAGGAGGTGGAAAAGTGATTTGTTTAGGCTGCTTAAAATTTGGGGTATTTTTTTCTTAATTGCTTCATCTCAAGCATGAAAAATGCAGACAAGATAAATACTTCATTCCTTTTCACTTTTCAGTAGGAAAGGATCATGAAGAAAAAAACCCCACATAACTGAATTTCTTTTTGTTTGTACACTGGAATTTTTCGCCTGGAGTGTTTTGAACGTATTTGTCGTCATCCGTTCACATGAGCGGGAATGAAACACTATTATTCTGTCACTGAAATTGTTTTTTTGGCCACCACGCAGATGCTTCGTGCAGTCAGTCAGTGCACTGCCTCAAAAACTGCTGTATTTTGCTAATGCTGTGCAAAGAGGTGAGCACCAGTGTGAACATCTGTGCCCAGATGAAGCACTTGAGACTCCCCTCTTGCCTGGAAAGAGTCTGTGATGTAGAGGAAAGACCTTCTGAAGAAAGAGAAGGTCAGAGCAAGAGGGAGCTGCCTCTCTTACAGAAGATCAAATAGGAAGGTCTTTTGATTTTTCTTGACCATTCATTGTCTTTTTTTGGTATGTTCAGGAAAATGTTGAAGAGGATGCAGTATGAAATCATAAGGAACAAATTCTAGAGGAATGGAAATGCGTTTTGTTTAGGCTACTTAAAATACAGAGTATTTTGTTCTTAATTGCTTCAACTCAAGAATAAAAAATGTCTGGACTTTCTTTTGTCCCCTTCAGCAGCAGCAGTTGAGTATTGTTAGTGTCAAAGAACAACAACTTGCCCAAGAGCCTCCTAATCCTTTGGGACCAAAGAGTAGACTTGAGCTGCATTAGCCTTGCAAGCCACTACCTTTTGCTTAGAGGTAGAGCCAAACCTTTTAACGTGCCTCTATGTCACCTATTAGACTAAGTGGTGGGCAATATAACATGAAATGGGTTGTGTGAGCTAATCTGTCTAGTTAGCAATGAGTAAAGAGGGTTTATATTTATTTAGTGAAGACCTGACTGATGAATCTCAGTTCCTGACATCTATTAACCATGCTAATGTGGAAATACTGTTAGGATTGAAAAGCCTTCATTTTTCTCTTAAGATAAAGCTGTGCATGCAGAATATGGTAAATGTAAGAGAAGAGTTATGCGTTTCACTCTGGAAGTCAAAATAGAGTAGTAATGCATAGAAGGGCTGTTGAAATGGACAGGTTTTTATGTTGGTACTGCAAAAAGACTGTAGTTATTGGAAATAAATGAGGCTTTGTTCTACTAATGAGTAAATCTTGTATAATGTTAATGTTGCCCTCCACTATTATTAATGTGTTAGAAAACATAATGGACTTTGAAGATAATACTAATGCTGGGGACACAGGAAGGTTGCAAATGAATTTATTCTTGTCCAGATTTAACACAAGTGTGAAGTATTTAGGGGTGGGTTTTTTTGGTATTTGTGTCCTCAGCGGTCTCCAGTACTAATTACATTGGGTTGGTGACTACGGTGGGATATTATTTTCACCTCTAATACTTGGTGCTAACTTTGTTTTCCTCTCTATTTTAACAGATTTTTTTGACCTAAGCAATTTTTACAGAATAGTTTAAAAGAGAAGTAGTACATTACTGAAAAATAGTGGTCTGTCTACTTTAACTTAGGGTCACAAGATAAAAGCCTTAAGTTGATTTTTTTTTTTTTTCCTCTTTGAGAATCAAATTAAGAAGCAAATATCTATGAATAGGTAATTGGGAAAAGAATACAGTTGCAGGGATGATTCACTGATGTAACTTTAGATCAGTGAAAGTTTATCCTGGTCAGCAAAGGTGATGGGTATTCTGTGGTGATGTGTAGTTGTATCAGTTGCACAGAGGAGCACTAGACTGGTCTTTTTTCAGGCAGATAGCCATGACCACATTTCCTTAGTATAGCTTGCTTGACCTCTGTTGGTTTTTCCCATGTTTTTGGGAGGTGGTGATTAAAAATATATGTTTTTGAGAGAGATTATCTCACATTTGCAGGGCACTTTGATCAAAGTGCACAAGTGCATTAATAAAATGACCTTAACTAGCATTTGAGTTTTACTCTCTTTCATTTTTAAGACAGTGTGCCTTAGCAGCGCTGAATGACGTCCGACAGTACCTCAGTGAAGAAAACGGGCATGTGGCTGTAAGTTTCTTGTTGAAGACACGTTCTTGAGATGTTTCCCTGCAAAACAGCCTGTGTCTACTGGATAATATATAGCTAGAGCCATCCTAATATCTCTTCAGTATATCAGATTTTTTTTTCTTTTAGAGTTGTATTTTAGATCTGCCTTGTTGCTGCAGTGAAAGAAGCACCTACATTCAGGGTGATGATGCTATATTGAGCACCCATTTTTGCGATTTGAGGGGTTAACTGAGGAGAGGGTAACACTAAGAAAAATGTTCCCCTTCTCTCCACATTATATAATGAACTGTTAAACACATCTGTTGTTTTGGTTGAACTTGTGTTTCTATTTGATAGTCTAGTGTTTCAAGTGAAAGGTAAAGATTTACTGAACAAAAAGCATCCTGGGTGTTGCGTGGCAGTTGTGTTACTGACGTGAGAAATCTCTGAAGAGAGCAGGAGAAACTTGAAGTAAATTGCTGCATATTGGAGTATTTAATAATGGGATGCAAAACATCAGCTGTTCAACTATTAACAGTGCATATTCACCTTAATAATATTTTGTGCATAATGTTGTTTTTCTTAAGACTACTGACACAACTTTGTGGTGTTTTCATTAACTATCAGGGAAATCCATTAACTATAATTACAAATTCTGCTGGCGACACGAGGTAAACTTTATACTTTGCCAAACTCCATACTTTGGTAAAACACTGGTGTGTTCAGAGCTAAATGTAAATCCTTAGAAAAATGTATCATACACAGGATTTACAAGTCTTGCAGATCTTTTGCCCTTTAAAAGTTTTACACTTGCATTTTGAATAGCATATTGATTGCAGCATCTTTTTTTTGTGTTGTATAAGTTCACTAAAAAACTATACGTTAGTATTTAATGCTGATATGGGCCAGGAGGAAGATTCTGTCCTGTATGTGTTAGGCTTAAACTCTGGCTGCTTCTTCCAAATACAGTGTTCTGCTAGTAGTGCTTTCAAAATATTGCTCTTTTTTATTATTTAGAAAATAATGTGTGTAAAGTAGGAATGTCTTTTGTTTTTCCTTTGAGCATGTTGAGGTAGTGGGGTAGAGGGAAGGGGAATTGTTTTCATTGCTTTCCTTTACATTGAGGGACTTTGAACCTGTATTTTTGTTGTTACTAACACAGTGCTTTTCACAGGCTATGATGCTTTTTTAATTCCTCTCTCTCTTTCTTCATAATTATTCCTAGGTCTTTGATGCTACAAACACAACTCGAGAACGTAGAGAAACTATTTATAAATTTGGTGAAGAAAATGGATATAAGGTGAGTCAGAAGCAGAGGAGTTCTGAGCTAATGCCTGAACAAGTAGGGCAGTGATAGTTTTGCCCTGATCTATACTCCAAGTTAAGTGCACCAGGATAAGTGACATACATCCTTCCTAAATGATTAGTCAGTGGACCATTTTGTGTTCTCAAGCATTGTTTGTGATTAAAAGTCACCCCACTCTCATTTTTCTCCTCTTTAATGTTTGTACTGTTTGGAGCTGATCTCTTTTATGCCATGGCTTCAATTCTGTCATCCTGGACCTGTAGTTCTGAGTGTACTGTCAGCAAGAACTGCTTAAAATATTGTTCTCAGTGCAGTTCAGATTTTTGCTGCAGAAACATATAGTGAATTCTGTGTTAGTTCTGTACAAACCAAAAACTTTCCGTGGCTTTCTGCCTTCTCTCCAGGATTGTTTTGCACTTAGCTATTCTCCAGTAAGCTTCCATTTCCTCTAAACTTGCATCTCCAGAAGCCTTTAAGACAGCAAAACACAAACCTCTTTTTAAGTGAAGCTCCTGTGTTAGTTGAAAAGCTTCTAAATTATTATTTCAGAAGCATTAGTTACTGTTTGCATGGCTGACCTTGCATCATCCTCATTTATTTCTTCCATCCTAAATTTTTCTCACAGCAAAATTATTCTACTTAAAAGCATTGGTGGGGAAAGTAGTAAAGAGCATGATGCTTCAGGGAATGGTAAGCTAGCAATTTCTGATGAGAGGGTCTGGAGAACCTTCTGATTACATGGAGGAAAGTTTTAAGGCATGTTTCTGTTAAAAAGGGGTTAGCAGGGAAGCGAGCAACATGCTGTTCATGTGTGTTAGTCTCCAGAGGCGTTATAATGCATCTTCTTTCTTCCTTCCTTCTGTATGCATGACTTCTGTTTGGACTGAAGACTTTTTTCGTTGAGTCAGTATGCGTTGATCCAGAGGTTATCGCTGCAAACATTGTGGTGAGTACAGGAAAGTTTGCTTTAACTGCTTTAAGTCCAGAGGTTTAAAGTAGCTCACTATTTTTAGAAGTACATTGTAAGAACTTCCAATAACAAAAAAAGCCATTAGTTTCCATTAATGGAACACTTTTCATTTATTTTCCTGTTCATAGAATCATACAGTGGCTTAGGTTGGAAGGGACTTCAAAGATCGTCTAGTTCCACCCCCCCGCCATGGGCAGGGACACCCTCCACTAGCACAGGGTGCCCAAAGCCCCATCCAACCTCGCCTTGAACACTGCCAGGGAGCCAGGGGCAGCCACAGCTTCTCTGGGCAACCTGGTGCCTCACCACCCTCACAGGGAAGAATTTCTTCCCAATATCTAACCTAAATCTCCCCTCCTTCAGCTTGAGGCCATTCCCCCTTGTCCTGTCACTGCCTGCCTTTGTAAACAGCCCCTCTCCAGCTTTCCTGTAGCCCCTTCAGGTACTGGAAGGCTGCAATAAGGTGTCCCCTTCTCTTCTCCCAGCTGAACAATCTCAACTCTCTCAGCCCGTGTCCATAGCAGAGGTGCTCCAGCCCTCTGAGCATCTTTGTGGCCTCCCCTGGACTCGCTCCAACAGCTCCATGTCTGTCTTGTACTGGGGCCCCCAGAGCTGGACACAGTACTCCGGGTGGGGTCTCATCAGAGCAGAATAGAGGGGCAGAATCACCTCCCTTGACCTGCTGGTCACGCTGTTTTTGATGCAGCCCAGGACATGGTTGACTTTCTGGGCTGCAAGCGCACACTGCCGGCTCATGTTGAGCTTCTCATCCACCAGTACCCCCAAGTCATCCTCCTCAGGGCTTCTCTTAATGTGTTCTCTGCCCAGTCTGTGTTTGTGCTTGGGATTGTCCCGACCCATGTGCAGGACCTTGCACCTGGCGTTGTTAAACTTCGTGAGGTTCGCATGGGCCCACCTCTCCAGCCTGTCAAGGTCCCTCTGGATGGCATCCCTTCCCTCCAGTGTGTCAACCACACCACGCAGCTTGGCGTCGTCAGCAAACTTGCTGAGGGTGCACTTGATCCCACTGTCCTTGTCACTGACAAAGATGTTAAACAGTCCCGGTCCCAGTGCTGACCCTTGAAGAATGGCACTCGTCCATGTGCGTACTAACTCAGAAGTTTAATTCTATGAAGAATAGCTCTTTTTTGCTTTACATGCATTTTAATTAACTTGCAGAAAATAAGTTTGTGTTGTGTTCTCCCCCTTCCTATTTCTTGAAACTTTGTTAAAAAGGGAAAGAAACTTAGGTACTACTCTCCTGTTTTTATTTTAACAGCAAGTGAAACTGGGTAGTCCTGACTATGTTGATTGTAGTAATGATGAAGCAACAGAAGATTTCATGAAAAGAATAGAGTGCTACAAGAACTCGTATGAGACGTTAGATGAAACTCTTGACAAGTAAGTGATAACATAATATTGTGATCACAACTGAGTTATTTTAAGATGTTTCCTTAGGGGATGGAGCATCCCATATCTGGGATTAGGGCTTTCTCATCATGATTTTTAATGGCTTGAGCTCTCTTTCCTTTGGCAAATTAGGGGGAGTTGACTCTGGGGGTGGAAAATTGCTTGCTTGAGGAAAATTGGCTAATGAGCCTACTCTGGGACAATATTCTTTTTTATTTTCCCACTTGGAGAATGGTATGATTCTTCTGGAATCAAACCAGCAGTTTCTGTTTTAGAAGTACAGACTTGCCATAGTGGTTGGTTGTTATTTGGGTTTTTTTAGTATATAGAGGAGAGCTGAATGATTTGTAAGCTTAAGTTCATTTATTTATTTGTGCTCGCAAATTATCCTTCAGTTGCAGGGCTCTGAGAAACTTTCATAGCTAGATTATTTGCTCTCATGCTAAAGCATTCACCTGTTTTTCATTCACTTTCAACACTTGAAAGTAAGGTAAGGATGAATGTGAGGAGGAGCCCTGTTTCTCTTGCTGTAGTCCAGGATTTCAGTGTGGGATTTTGAGCTGTGCTCATACCAGGTGCTCCTGGTTTCTTTCAGGACCAGTGCTATTGAGAAGGCTGAGCTGCATTTTACTGTAATTGAGTGTAAGCAGGGTGATGCTGGTTCAGTCAGGTCGATTCATGCGTGTAACTTTTGTGACGGACCTAACAGTTGTGCCTGGTTGAAATAGTGGGTGAAATAGTAATGATTAACTCCAAAGAACACTATCAGAGATGAGGTGCTGATGCTTGCTTCTCATCACCTCCATTTGGATTTATTATAAGTTTTCTTGGTTTTGGTGGTCTGGTGTCTCCAATGCATCTCTAGAAACCTATAGTGGTTATTTTCAGCTTATTTAGACTTTTTTCCTCCTTTAAACTAGATGCTACTCTGAAATTATAGCTCAGATGAGAAAGGATAAGCAGTGAAAATTGAAATTACAACCTGTCTGATGCTGAGAGAAGGTAGTGATGGGGTAAATTACAGTACTGTTTGTTAATAGTTGTTGATAGAATGATTGAGAAAATGTCTTGCTTCAGGCTAGTCCCTGCTCCCTCTGATGCTGTAGTTTTTCTGGAAGGGTTAACTGAGACGAGTAAATAGTGACCTCGATGTTTGGCCCCAGGGTGCAGTCAGACAAATACTTTCTGTGGGAGAAGTGTTTGTAACCTGCAGAAAAATACCTAGTATTGTAAAATATCTGGATACCTTATTGAAGCTACCACAGTTGAATGACTCCACTGAATCTTCCTTTTGGTGTGAGGAATGTGTTTTTCCAAGAGTAGGCTCTAGATTTGTGAGATGGAGTGCAAGTAAAGGGAACAGAAAAGAAAATGATGAGAGCAGCTTATGTGTGAAGGGAAGAGAGTCCATCCTGTAGCTTTGGAGTATTGCATTATTTCTTAGGACTAATGCATGGTCCATGGGTAATTAAGGGTTTGTTTATTGCTTTGGCTTGTTCCCCCTTTGTTTTATAATGAGAGAGAGTGGGAAGATTGTGCTACATGCTAATAGAAACTATGTGGAATCTTGCTTTTTTGTTTGTTTGTTTGCTCATGAAAGGGATCTTTCTTATATTAAAATTATGGATGTCGGAAGGAGTTACCTTGTGAACAGAGTTATGGATCACATCCAGAGCCGGATTGTCTACTACCTCATGAATATCCATGTGACTCCCCGGTCAATCTACCTCTGTCGACATGGAGAAAGTGAACTCAATCTGAAAGGGAGAATAGGAGGAGATCCTGGACTGTCTGTCAGGGGGAAAGAAGTACGTACCTCCTGAAAAAGTGTGACTGGGTTTTGTGTATATTTGTGCACTTCATGCTGTGTAATTACAGCTTTCTTCCTCTACACCCTTTTCTTCTTAGCATGTTTAAGAAGGATTTTTTTAGTTGTGTGTGGGTAGTGGAAACTGGATGGACATGCTTTGTGTGTCACGATTTGGTTTTCATCTGTCTGTCATTCTGTGGGTTAAAATTCCTTTTTATCCTACAGCACAAAGCAGTGGTCAGGAGGGCTTTATTTTTTAACTGTATTTTTGTAAAATCCTGACTTGTTGGGTAATTAGGATGGTTAACAAGTTAAAGCTGAAAGGAAAATTCCTGGAGGTAAAGATGGGAACTGCAGAAAACTTGAATCTTCCTTGTACTCCTTTCCTTCCCTCCCCTGTCCCTCTTGGTGTAACGGAACATGTTGTATTTCTTAGCAAAAACTTTTGTCAGAGCCTTTTGAAAAGTTACAATGAGTTTACAGAGGCTAGAGCCTGCGTGTTCTGAACTGAACACAGTGTGTTGGCTCTGAGCTCTCATCCAGCATCTCATGGTTTTTCTTTCAGTTTGCCAAAAGCTTGGCACAATTTATTAATGAGCAAAATATCAAAGATCTGAAAGTTTGGACCAGCCAGATGAAAAGGACAATTCAGACTGCTGAAGCCTTGGGAGTGCCTTACGAGCAGTGGAAGGTTTTGAATGAGATAGATGCAGTAAGTTTTTATTTTCTAAATGTCTAATAAGTTGCTTTGTTTGCTAGGGATAAAGGAAGAACTTAATTTTGTAAGGATATGCCTTTTATGGGATAGAAAGTCATTTAAGCTGGTTCTACAGGCTGGAAAAATGTCATTAATTCCTGTGAACAAAGCTAAATGTCTTATTAAAATTTGTCATGATTAATTTAGTCTTGGCTTGTCTTTCCCAGTAAAATATTCCCCTGTAGAAGCCATGATGCTGTGAAATTCCAGCTGCACCTGTAAGATATATAAGCAGGTGCAACAGATAAAATGTGACCTTGCTTGCCCATATATGTATTTCACTTATATAGGAATTTAATGATTCCTTTTCAGCACATCTGAATTCAGCTGAGTGCCCTGTTCATCCCGTGTGACAATTTTGTCTTTAAGTGTCAGAGTAACAAAATACAATTGTTAAAGGTTATTTTTATATGTTTTTATTTAAGAGTGATACCTGGTTTTTGCACTACTGGAAATGCATGCTTTTAAATTATTTTTATTACCTGTAGGGAGTGTGTGAAGAAATGACGTATGAAGAAATACAGGAAAATTATCCGCTTGAATTTGCACTGAGAGACCAAGACAAATACAGATACAGATACCCTAAAGGAGAGGTATGCTATTTTTTCTCCCTTAAGGTGAAGGGCTTCCTCGTCTTCTTGAATACATGCATGCTGGCTTTAGGAAGGAAAAAAAAAGTTGTTCCTCTCTCCAGGGGAAAGCACATAGGAGCTAACAGGGATTGAGCCCAGACCATTTAATTTGATTCAGGGCTTGAAAAATAAAACAATAGATTTAGGAAAAAAAAATAGAGAGCTGGGCATCGTTTCTGTGCTGGTCCTGTAGTGATAAAGCAGGAATAACGATTACAAGGCTTCAAACTATTGCATATGCAAACATACTGCCAAGATCGCCTTTTCTTATTCATCCTTGCTGTAGAGAACGGCTGTTTTGCATGCAGTCCTGGCGGAAACGTTAGGGAAATCTGTAGCCACATTGGTCTTTCACTTTAATAAACTCCTTGCCTCTGGGAAAATAACTTGCTGACAGCTTTTCTAAAGCAAAGCCATTACAGCGCAGCAAGTACCAGATGGTCACACGGCGGGTCTGTGGGTGCTGAGGGCTTAGGACTCGGGGCAGCAGGGTGGAGGAGTAATTGGACCAGCTGCTCCACTGTTTGTGTCAGAGGAAGCAGAGCTCTGAGGTCTTCTTTCCTCAACAGTCAAGAGTAATCACTCTGCTAAGAGCAGCTTGTGATAAGAGCAGTGTTCTTGTGGGTGTGACCCCTGTCTCGCTAATGAGGTGGTCATTAAGATGCAAAGTTCTCCTAATCTTTTTGAACAAGAAGGGTTTGTTTTTCAAATTGATGCCATCCTCTAGGATGGTGACAGACATTTCAAACTGCCTCATGACCTCAGTCGCTGGTCGAAGGCAGTTTCTCTGTGGCCGGTGACGGTCGCAGGGTTTTGCACAGCCTGGCTGGAGACCTCTGGGTTTCTCTTGCCAAGGTCTGCACCAGCAGAGCGGCTTTCCAAGCCCCCACGCCTGCCTTGGGACCAGGGTGAAGGCTTTCTGCTCTGGTCATTCCCTGTCCAGCTGGGCGATGTGCTGTGGTCTGTGCGTGTGCAATGCATGACACATGTTTTGAAGTATGGTCTTTACTGTGCATGTGAAAGTTAAGTACGCACATGCGGAAATCCCACAGATCGCAGGAGAAATCTGGCCGCCTTGCTTTGTGATTTTTGATGGGATGGTGGCTGCCATCACCAGGCCGGTTCATCAAGCCCATGGTTTGATTTCAAAGGGCAGCCTGAACAAGTCAGGCTTTGTGAACTGTTTGTATGCTGACTGTAGGCTGGGCCTCCTGGAATTTTACTTGGAAGAGAGATGTTTTTGAAGATGAGTTATGGAAAATAATGTGCAAGACTTAACCTGTACATTTGCAGATCCTGTGAATTAAATTCTAGGGATTTTGTGGAAATTCTTGATCATAGTAACTAATTTAATAAAGTTTTTCCATGAGAGAGATTTATTTTCTTATATGTGTGCTCTTTGATAGTCTGGAAGACCTGGACTGTGTTCTTAATTTAAGGAAAATTATTACTACAATATTTGTGTCTGCACTAATATAACATTTAGAACATGACTAATATGAAAGTAAGATCCACTGTATATACATGCACTGTTGAAAGAGTTTTCCCTTTTTAATGTGCTGTGTATTTCTCCTCCCCGCCCAGTCCTATGAAGATCTTGTTCAGAGACTGGAGCCGGTAATTATGGAACTTGAAAGGCAGGAAAATGTGCTTGTCATATGTCACCAAGCTGTCATGCGCTGTTTGCTTGCATATTTTCTTGACAAGCCTGCAGGTAAGTCTTCCTTGATACATTACAAATGGTGTGTTTTTTTGAAAAATTACTGATTAAGGTTCCAAACAGTAAATTCTAATGATTTCCTTTATCATCAGAGAGTGGTTGTGCTAGGCAAGTATGCAAGTGTGATTTTTTTTTAATTTTTTTTTTATTTGACCCACATGTGTTACCTGGTAGTTGATTTTGATTGAGCTGCTCCTCACCTGAAATACTGTAATGTTTGTTTTTTGCTCTGTTTGAATAGCATCTCTGTTGCATGCGAGGGAAGAAAACAGATACACTGTCAGATAAAAAGACATTTAAGTGGTTGAACTGTAACATAATAGAAAAGTTAGTGTTACTGTAATCTGTTTTTTTGTATGTAACTTGTTGTTTGATTTCTCAGAACAACTGCCTTACCTGAAGTGCCCGCTGCATACTGTCTTAAAGCTAACCCCTGTGGCTTACGGTAAGTAGTATTAGGTATATATAAGTCTAACTATACTGTGTCATCAGTAAAGTTTGTGAAGCATTTAAATTAAAACACATTTTAAATTTATTTTGCTTTAAAATAGAATTGAACAATTAGGTTTGACCTTGCATGTATTGCCTGTACAATTTTGTTAGAATCGATGATTCTTTTGTTTACATTTGCTTTGCCTTATGCCAGAAGATATGTATGTGTTAATGAAGGCCTGAAACTACCAGTGGCTCTAACTGCCAGTGGACAATTTTCTTTTGTACTTGGTTTGTATGCTATTTCACAAATTCTTCTGGCAAACCCGTGCCATTTACACATGGCTGGTACAATAAGATCTCAGTTTTTATTATGTGTTTGAGGGTATTGCTTTTTAGAAGACAGGAAAATTTACATTTATGTAGGTTTATCATCTTACAGAGGGTGTTCCCCTTACCCTTAAATAATTTTGTTCTCTTTTCCTGAAGTATTTTTCATGGACCCTCGCACTACCACATGAACTCACCTTGTTTGTTGTTGGCTTTTGTTTGTCAGCAGGCATTACCAGTGCTTAGCTCAGGAGCTTTAACTGAGATTTGCTGCTAACTTGAGTGGGTATGGGTGGTAACATGTACTACGTGGGGTTTAGGCTGATTGCTAATAAAGTTTTGTTTGTGTTTCAACCTCAGCTTAACACGTGCCCGCTATTAATTTTCTTTAAGTGATGACTTAATTATATCTTCTGATACCTAGTCATGCTTCAGAAGATTGCTTATAGACAAAGAGAGCTATCTGCACAGCTTACCAGGAAATGGATTGCCAAAAAATGCTAGTCATTAATTGCACATGGAAAGCTGGTTTTGATTATCAGCTTTGAAAAATAGCAGTCTAGACCTGTACTTAGATTTTTATTAAGTTTCAAATAAAGTTGACACAAAAGTAAATAGCTGTTAGACTGCGAAATCTATCTGAAGAGATTTTTGTCATTTAATTGCAGTGATGTCCTACAGTAAGTACTAACTGTCTATGCTTTGGTGACATCTGGTGTTCCTAGCGTTGCATGACAAGCTAGAGTTTTGAAAAGCGGCATGTAGAACAGCTAAAACTCTTTTGGTTTTGTTTTTTAAAAGGTCAGTTTTTGGAAACTGGATTCTCTTGACTTGCTACTCTCAGCCTGTTTCCACAGAGATGTTTTTGTTTTGGGGTGTGGGGTTTTTTTTTTTTTTTAAGTGGGAAGCTAAGGGACTGTTCATAAATTTTAAAAGGGCCTGAATGTTTGCAGTGTTTACTCACCCACGAAATGAGGAGAGAAAAGAAGCGGTATGAAATACTGTCCTTGTCCTTTTGACTTCAGTGAAAGAAATGCTATTGTGTTTTTTTTAAAGTGTTCGATATGTATGGCTGATTAGCAAATTTCAGTCGACCTACTTTTTGGAATTTGACCATCTGAAAAAACAAGGGCTGTGTAAGCTATTTATACAGTAATGATCTATAGCATTATTTCAAGCTGATGTGTCACTTGGCTCCAGTGAGGCAGGATGCGGGATCAAACGTGGTGTGTTTAATACCTTCCAGCTAATCCTGTTCTGGGGTAACACCTCCCTTAGGGGTTTGCTCTTCCTGGTGTTTGAAGCTAGCATCTAGCGTTGTTCCCACCCTATGCGTCTGATCTTTAGTAGGGGAACATCTGTTACAGGCTGACAGTTGCATTTGGGTAAATTAGACTTTGACCCAACAATCCTGTGTAGCGGTGGTCTGTGTGGGAGCGCACAGGAAAGAGAAACTGCATCTTGCTGTAGCTATGGACTTGCACATCAGTGATTAAAAATGAGTTGGTAACACGCACGTCATAATTACTGTGGAGTAACTCATATCTCTTTAGTTTGTATTTAAAGCTTTCCATACGATACTTTTTTCAGGTCTTAAACTCAGCTAGTGGTGAGAACTGAGCGCTCTCTGTGGAAGTGTCTGCTGTGTAACCGGTCCTCAGTAATAGCCAGCGTGAGGGATCAGGGCTTGCTTTGGCTTGATCTCGGGGATCATGAAGGATCTGTGAACAGAAGGATGGCTAGAGTACTCTTCCAGCGGGAGATGTGCACTTTTTCCCCTTAAAATCTGTTTTCTTGTTGACTGTTTCTGTGAGTGCTGGCCCTTCTGCAGTGTTTGTCCAGTGCTCATGGAAAATGGGGTTTCTCAGAATAGGCTGCCCTAAGGGAAGGCAAATATTTGCCTTACTAATTTATATTGGTTGGGTTTTTTTGGTTTTTTAAAGTGCAGTGACTTTCTAAGAAAAGGTGAAAATCACCTTTTTCTGTCATACAGTAATTCTATGGAGTGTGTTATGACTTTAGGAAATAAGTGAACAGAAAAATCTGAAAACTTTTTGTGATAGAAGATGGACTCTCCGGTATGTCAGAGGAATTTGACTATTAATGGATGTTGTGCACGGTAGTGGTAGCTTATAAAAGTCATGTTCGTGTGAGATAAGACAGTGTTTACCAATCTGTTACTGCTTAAAAAGGTGTGACCGCGGTGTATTAATTATAAACTGACCCACTTAGACAGTCATACTACCTGAGTAATAGTTGTCTCTCCTGACTGTTTAAATTGCTTCTCTGGAGTTTTCCATTTTTGGGTGAAAAGAAGTTCCTTTTCAGAGGTCAACTTTAAAGTTCCATTGAGCTGGGGGATAAATTCTGTTTTGCATGTGGAGAGGAATGATGGTTGCTGAAAACACAGAATGTACCTTCTCGTAATCATTTTTGTGTTTTAAAAAATGAGAGCAGCATTTATCTTCTGTATTACAATGAAATTCTTAGAAGTCTAGGATGTTTAAAAACCAGAAAAGTTAAATAAATTTCTGACTGAGTGTTGTTCATGTATGTTTAACAATGAGGATTTGTTTCAAAGAAAATAATGATAAAGCTAAAGTGGGAATAGGAGATGGATTATCAGATTAATAGCATTCGTCCTGGTGGAACAGATTGATTTCAATAGTTTAGCTATTCAGAATTTGGGAAATTTTAGTATAAATCATAGGGGGAAAGTGATTAACCTTCGCCAACTCAAAATTAGATTGCATCTTTACTAGAACTTCATTTTTAAAGCAGTCCAATTCTAAAAATGTGTTTTCTATCAACAGGATGTAAAGTAGAATCTATATTTCTGAATGTTGAAGCTGTAAACACACACAGAGATAAACCCGAGGTAAGAATATTTTTTAAATCGGAGAACTTGACGTAATGTACTGAGCTGATTTTCATTGTCCTTGTGGTTAGAAATGATTTGATAACTCAGCTGAGCGTATTTAATTTTACATATCAAGCTTCACTGCTGGTTGGCTGTTGGGGGGGAAATCCTTTTTATTGAGCAAATTTATCTTGCATATGAGCTCTAGCTGGAGTAGTTTATTTTCAAAAAATGTATGAGGAGTTGAAGATACAGTATCTATCTAAAAACTGTATAAAGTTCTTCTAGGCTTTGTCATTCATCAGAAGTAGCGTGTAGTCAAAAAGTACTCTGATATGAACGCTTATTTTGGAGAGAGTAAATAATGGAGTTATCGGCTTTTTCATCACGGTGATCATTGCTGTATAAAAAAGAGGAATTGATGATGCCATCTGTGTTTTAAGCCAAAGCTGGGGAGGAAGACTAGATCTTGGGATACAGGAGAACAACCGGGGAAAAGGAAATTGAGTGTATTTGTAAAAGGTAAACAGAGATAAGATGTCAAACCACAGCAGCTTCGTGCTCTGCCTCTGTCAGGCACACAGTTCTGTGCGCTCCTAAGTGTTGACGTGAGGTTAGGTTGATTCTGCTGCTCACGCAAAACTCTTCCTTTGCTGCATCATGAAAGTTACGTAAAATGTGTCACGAGAAAAAATTTCTGGTTCCCTTGCAGAGCCTCACACTAACGCTATGAGGTATGGCACTGATGCCTTGCTGAGGTTATGAGCCACACCCACTGGTGAACTGAAAGTCATAATGTGAGAAAAAAAGGCACTTCGTTCGTGGCGGTTTTCAGAACAATGGTTTAGGTGAAAAGGAATATAGTGATAAATGTGTTTTTCTGTATGTATTCAATAGGGTATATGACACAGAATGCCTTACATGAGGGTATGGTTTTGTTGCAGTTGTGCAGAATTCATGCTGGAGGGGTCTGCAAATAAGTTTGGTTTTAATGACTTGGGTATTCAGAGTTCTGAAAATACTGATTTTTGGTCTTGTAGCCAAGACATTTTCTATTAGATTGTAGTATTGCGTATTTCCTCTCT